CAGCAGGATTTTCCACTGTAGCTGTGAAACTGCGTATGGATGCAAAGCAGTAGAGATGGTTAAAGAAATCTAGAATATAGTTTTTAGCTGATGTTTCAAAAACATTTTTTTTTTCCAGAGTAACAGTCATTCTGAATTTAAAATGAGCTGTATATGAAATTCTGTCGTGAGGCACAGTAGAAAGTGTAGAAGAGGACATGTGGGTGAAACAGCTGTATGACAGAAGAATTGGGGGTTCCTTGGAGGAATTCTCAGGGAAAAAACTAGTTTATCTTGAAGTTTAACAGGCAGCCTTAGCCTACTAGGCAGACCACATAAAAGCTGGTTCTCCCTTCTGTTTTGCCAAGTGTAAATGGTCAGTTGCTTAATCACTGTTATGCATCCCTCTCCCTGAATATGTAGCAGGTGAAATACCTGCCCCGGGAAGATAGTAAGAGGGAAGTGCTTGATGTGTGACTGTGGTACCTTTGTTCAGATTTGCAGATAGAAGGGTGTGCTTTCTTCTGTCTTAAAAGGACCCTGATTGATTTTAGCCATGCCCTGAAAAACAGAAATGTATCCTTTCCTCTTCCCACTTCGCATTTTTTCCTCTGTTTAAAGAGCTACCAGGTGGCGTGCTTGTTAAAGTAGTTCCCTTTCCTGTCATCACTGTGGCTCTGTCTTGTGGGTGACGTAAGGCCTGATTTGCCATGTTATCTGAGGGAATGATACTGGCTGATTTCCATGCTGACTTTTACGAACGGGCCAGTCTCCTCTGCAGGTGGCTGCTGTCAAAAATGAGTGATGCTGTTGAGTAAATACTTCAGGGATGCCACCAAAGGGTGGACTGTTTCGCCCCCCTCGTTGTTCGCTCGTCGGCTGGACAAAGCAGCTAGTCAGAGGTGAGTTAGTCTTGGAGGAGGTACAAGGCAGAACTTGTAGCACACAGACTTGGCGGTGGTTTTAGAGAGAGTAACAGAGGCTCTTGCAGAAACACACTTCTAACTCTGCTTTCAGGAGTGCTTTCTGGGCTTTCAGAACTAATTATTGCAATGCTGGTTCCTCTCAAGTGTTTAGTTTTATTCTTTTAATGGCCATTAATCATCAGCGCTAATTTGGGAGGGAAAGCAAAGCAGTGTATTTAGAAATATAAAACGAGGCTTGTTAATGGAGAAAGCTTTCCTGCCTGCCAAAATCTGATCAGTAAAAATGTAGGAACTAATGCTGTAGGCTTTCAATGCAAATGCGAGCCTTTCCAGTTTTTATAAGATGGTGGCCCATTCCAGAATGGGGAAAGACTGCAGGATGTGGCAGGGAGGAAACTGCCCTCCTCAAAACAAAGCTGTCCCCCTGCATCTGT